AGAGAAAGAGTGAAGTATCCTTGACAGTATCTATGCCATGATCTCATTTCCTTAGCACTTCAGCTCCTTAGGATCCTGGGTACTTGTGTGCATGCCTGATATGTTTTTGGGCAGACCCTGGGATTGAAACCTCTGGCCAGGCATATGGCTATCAGCCTTGCAGGGTATTTGTCTTACCCTGCACCACAGCAGCAGGGCTGAGAAGAATAGGACTTTAAAGTCCAATGCACACCTAATAGGTACCCTGCAGAATTTCTTCGTAGCATTTCTTCTTAATAGTACCACTTTTCAACTTTGCCTTGTCACAATACAGAATTCTATCGGCACAGTGAACAAATATCAAGGCACAAGTCAACCTAGCTTAGTATGGGCAATTTATAGAAATGTACTTTAGGGTCAGCTGGTTACATGGTGGTTAAGGTGGCTGGACCCCATATGACAGACCGTACGGTCTGAATCCCAACCCAGTGGCTTGAGAAGCACACCAGGCACGTGTGCATATTTGCTCAAAATCTCAAAAAGAGAAATGGAGGAGAAAAGATTGTGATATGACCATCCCCTATGGGGGGTACTTTCCCCCCTCTCTCTGACACTTTCTGGTGAATACATATGTCCTATAGCAAGTTAAAAAAGAAAAGGAAAAAAAAAAAGAAATGCACTTTATTTTACCCATAATGAGGAGAGAGGAAAGATGTGGAAAAGGTTTGCTCTAGAATGGAGAGAGGACTATAGATTCTGTAGAATTTTCAAGTATTCTACTTACAGAGGTGCTTTGAGGGGAAGTGTTTTAGTTTATATTTTCTGTTCCTAACAATCAAATAGAGTTATCTTTAGCTTATGGTTTAGGAAGTCCAAGGTCAAGGGGCTGCATTTGGTGAGGTCTTCTTATTGGTAGTGACTGCAGAATCCTGAGGCAGAGCGGAGAATCTCATGGTGAGAATTTGCCTGTGTCTGTTTCTGTGTTTTTGCATTTCTGGTCCCTTTTGCTCACATTAAGCCACTGAGATTCAAATACGTGGGCCCCACTTTGATGACCTTATGTAATCCTAATGACTTCCTGATGCCTTACCTTTCAAAACAATAGATGAGATTTCTACTCTCTTATTGCTGTCACATTACAATCAAATTTCAACACATAAATTTTGGGGGCACATTCAAACCATAGTAAAAATTCTTAGGTTTTGCATTCTGCTCAAGAACTGGCAAGGGGTCTCATGAAGCTCTTAAAAAAAATAAAAATTCTATCTGGGACTGGATGTGATGGAGCAGAAAAATGCAATGCTTTGTGAGGCTGACCCACATGAAGATATTACTAATTTGTGTCTGGAGACCTCCCTGAGTGTACCAGACACGCCACATTCATGATCTGGGGCTGGCTGAGGCTGGGTGTGAATCTTGGCATCAAGATCATGTTGAACATGTACCTCTCTGTTTTTCTGTCTCAATTTCCATCTCTCTCACTCATGGAAGAAACAAACAATTTTTTAAAAAAAGGAAAAGAAAAACATATATATTCAAGACCTCTGCTGGTTTTTACTGTAACGAAGGGGACAGGGGAAATGAAGAAGAAGAGGATGATTTTTTATTTTTTTTAAGAGACTGGTTAATGAGATTTTTTTGGTTCTAAAATACAGGGCTCTAGTGTAGTTAGGAAGGAACAGATTATGGCAAAGTGCCTACCTACTCTGCTTGACTAGAATTAAGTTTCTGCATCTACTTTTGCCTTTACCAGTCTGTTAGGGTGAAAGCCATGACAAGAAGTATCTGGAACTCCAGGAGAGAGGAGATGGGAAAACCACTCCAAACACTGACTAGGATGTCAGAGCTTGAGAAGGGCTGGTCTAAAACGGAATCTTCTATAAAAGAAATGATCTAGAGGTTCAGTTTCCAAGGAGCATGTTTTCCTAAATAGTGTTGTAACCTTCTTCTGCTGTTGAGAGAAGGTTGATTCCATAGACCAGCCTTATATTAGTGATGGTAGAGAGACTAGAAGAGAAAGTGGCCATGCTGCTAAACAAGATTCAAAAGACCAAAAATGGCCAGAGTGATGACACTTGCTGGAACTGAGTAAGGAATAACAACCACCATGAAAATAAAAGCACCTTTCTCCCTAGGAGTGCTCAGAGATACTGGGGAGGGAGCTGGACATCCTGTTGTATTTATTTCAACTGATTCAAGTTGTATTTATTTCAACTGATTCAACAAATATTTACTGAATACCATGTATGTACCAGGCACTGTCTGGGTTCTAGAGTCACAAGAGTAAATAAGACTAAGTCCTTGTCCTCATTTTATGTCGCTCAAATTGATTCCAGTGCTTTGTGTTTTACTAGGCACTGTAAAGATAACTCTCTTTAAGAAAGATCTCCTCTCATCTAATTAATAGCCGGGGCTCAGTTCAAGCCACCCTATCTCACAGGTGAGGGCATATAAGGCATATATGCTCCTGCTGGCTTCACCAGTGACGAACATTTATATGGGTGCTGTATACCAGACATCTCGCTGAGATCCTACTATATCTAATTTAATATGACAAGGCAGGAGAAGAGAAACTTTTTTCTTTTTCAAATCTTGAAAGTCCTTGGTTTGAGCAGCTTCCTGTAACAAGAGACAGATAACCAAGAGAAAAATAAACAGAAATTTATTAACATGTACATTTCATATATACATGACAGATACACAGAGAATGAGTAATTTTTAAAGAGATGGCCTTTAATTCTAGTTTATAGAATTCTAGCTTCAATAAAGAACAGTAGATATTTAGAGAGAAGTGATCAAACGAAGAGAAAAGATATTTTTGAGTCTCTAGGAGCAGCAATTTATAGGAAGATAAATAAATGACAGACAAAAACTAGTTAGTAAAGTTTTTTTCTTTCTTTTTTTGGAGAGGTTTTTGCTATAGGGCGCATGTGCTAGCCAGCCAGACAGAGGGAGACAGAAAGTGAAAAATCACCCCCCAGGGGGGATGGCCACGCTGCAATCACTTCTCCTCCATTCTCCTCTTGGGATCTTGGGCACGCACACACACACGCCCGGCGTGAGTTTAAGCCACTGGGTCCGGAACTCGAACCACGGTCGACCAGTTGGGAGTCCAGCGACATAGCCATTACGCTAACTGATGGTCCCAGTAAAGCTTTTTAATGTAGATTCCTTTGGTACCATCTGCAGGGCTGATTAGGGTCTAAAATTGTCTTCAGTGGTTAACCTTGTTCTCCCTGATAGAAAGGGGGACAGGATATCACTTGTCCTGTCTATGTTCTGCTTTTAGGCAACTAGAGGGAGGGCAGAAAGCTTTTCTACATCTACAACTTCTTTATTACCTTCTGCTCCATAATCCTTAATATTTTCATGTGCCGTATACTGGTCCTCCACAACATCTGTTTGTCTGATTCCAAAGCCCTGCCCTGGACCATTTTATCATCATTCAAATATGAGCATCTTCAAAGTTTAATGCACTTTCCAAAAAAGTACTTCTGACCCAACAAGTAGAGAGTTATATTAGAATTTGCACCTTTGGGGAAAGGACAAGTTTTTAAATATTCTCCTTCCCAAGGGAGTGTTTTGGATTGTCTTTTAGATCAAGTGTACATGGGGTCAGATAGCATCTTATTAAAATATCTTCTCTTAAATGTTAAGATATGTATACCCTTTTTCAAACTGTGATCTTGTGTTTACTCAAGTCTCTAGAAAGTGGTTTCTGGGCTGGCACCAAACTTCAACATGTTAATATGCAAGAGATTATATCTTGGAACACAGACAATGGAATTTATTTTCCCCCAGAGTCTCTTAAGGTCAGATGGGTGTAGGGGTGAGGTGGAATATGACATGGTCTAAGAGTCTCATGCTAAGAGTCTCATATCATGCAAAATGTCCCCATGCTTAATAGAATATAATTTAAGTCATCTCCAGGGACAGTTGCGGAGAAATCCCTGGGAGAAAGAAACATGCTAATTTTTTATTCCAATTACCAGTATGTTCTTTAGTTCAAATAAAATGCCCCCAGTGTGTTGGATGCTTTATGAGCTTCATCATAAAGACATGCCCCAGCCCTGCAGGGACTTCCATCAAGAAAACATATGACACATTCTCAGGCTATGGAGAGTAAGACAAATAATACAAAGGGGAAGGAGAGGGCTCTTAGAATTGTTGTTTTTGTTTGCAGAGACCAAAGAGACTGACCTCTGATTAACGTTCTTCTCCTTTATATAATCTCTTACCATGGGAAGACAAATAAAGTGGATGGAAGAGGAGTAATGCTTCCTTTCTTTTAGGGTGCACGAACCATCCATTTTTAATGCCTACAAAAGAAGAAAAAGTCATGCAGGCCTCACGTTTTATTATAGCCACTTTTCTCTTGTACCAAAATATCTCAGAAATTTTTAAGAAAAGCTCCCTTTGAGGGCTAGCTGCCCAGGTCATTCTCTGCTATGAGTGATGGTGATTATGAGGATAATAGTTAGGTATGATAAGTCCAGATTATATTGGTTGATCAGAGTCTGGCTAGAATTTTGTTTCTCCTACTATGGCTTTCCGTGGTGGTGGTGATAGGGACTTAAACTCTTATCTAGGTATTAATGACAGGGCTCAGGACACTTTTTCCCAAAACATGACATCTTGAGGATTTTTTTTTGTTTAATTTGCCATAGGGCACATGCTTGCCAAAGAGACAGACAGAGAAACAGTGAGAGAGAAAGTGAGAAATCACATTCCAGGCAGGATGACTATGCCACAGTCCTTTCTCCTCCATTCTCCTCCTGAGATTTTGGGCACTCTCACACACACACTCAAGTGTGATTTTTCAAGCTGCCAGGTCTGGGACTTAAACAGTGATAACCCATGTGGAAGTCCACCATGCCACCTGCTGGCTCTAGCATATTGAGTATTTTAAGCTGAAGGAATTTGAGAAATGTCAGATACAGGAAGGATTTCTGACTTTCTGCTGAATCCATTATAAGACCTCCATGCAATGGAAATCTTTTTCTGTCTATTTACAGAGGAAAGCGTCCTTATCTTTGAGGATGAAGAAATGCCATGAGGAATCTGAATAGCAGGCTTTACTAAGTTTCCACCAGTTTACTACAGGTATAAAGGAAATTTTCCTTTTTCCTATGAAATTCTCTGAGAATCATGGACAACAGGCAGATTAATAAAAGGCATACAAGTTTATTTAACATATACATATGTGCATGAGCACTATAGAAAATATGAACTCAAAGAGAGGCCAGCTGGTTAAGATTCTTCATAAAAGAAAGGAAAAGGGGAAGGAGAGCCCAGACACTTTTAAAGGAAATGTTCTCTTAGGGAGAAAGAATGTGCTCAATGTTCAGACAACGGTGAGTAAATAATTTTCCTTGGGAGCTGGATGGGCCTGGGAGACTGACAGTAGCTCATGAGGAAATCTGTCTATGTGTGTTAACTTTCCTCAATCTTCCTTTCTGCAATTTAAGTTTAGTTAATGATAACTCAAGAAAAGAGTTGAGGCAATTGCTTTCCTCTTGGGAGTCCCAACATTTCAGTAAGTATTAGAATATTAGAGCAAGCTTTTCTTTGCACTTCAGGAGAAAAAGGATCAAAATGATCTAGAGATAGGGGAGTGAGGCGAAGGTCAGTTTGGTTTTGACGCTGTCTCTTTAATTTGGCATGGCAAAATGCCAGCCTTTGGGGTATCATTTACCAAGCTACAATTCTATCCTTAGCTGGTACTTTTTTCTATCACATTTTTTCAATGACATTTCGCCCTTCATCAAATCTATTTAAAAACTCTCAGCTTGGAGACAGCAGATGGTGTGGTAGTTAAGGCACATGATTCCCATGTGTTCAATCATGGTCTGAGTACTGGACCTAGCAGCTGGAAACTCATGCCGGGTATGCATATGTACATGCCCAAACGCCTAGCAGAAGAATGGAGAAGAAGGGATTGCTGTGTGGCCATCCCCCCATGGGGGGTGATTTCTCACTTTCTCTCTCACTGTCTCTTTTTCTCTCTCCAGCAAGTACACATGCCTTATGGCAAAAACCTTAAAAAACAAAAGAAAACAAAACAAAAACCTCAGCTTTACCATGCACTCCCCTCCCTTACATTGGTGTCTACATTTATTCTCTGTACTATCATATCTTCAGATCTTTCAATTTCTGCCATAGACTGTAGATATTCAGTACATATTGAGTGGGGATATACAGTGAGTATCTTTCAAGTCTAGAGAGTGGGTGGTAGAGGGTGGATGTGAGCGCGAATGGAAGAAACACATGACAGACAAAATGTTAAGTTCTCTGTTGAAAAAAAATATTGTATACATCATGATGGGGACTTTATGTAAAATGTGAATTAATCTGAAAATAAAACAAAACAATCAACTTTAATCTTTTATTGAACTATTATTTTCTTATGAATGCTCCCATGTCATATAAAATTTATATTAAATAAATGTATATATGCTTTCTCTTAATCTTTTCTTTTTTTTTTTTTTTTTTTGGAGAGATTTTCACTATAGGGTGCGTGCGCTCGCTAGACAGACAGAGAGAGACATAGAGACAGAAAGCGAGAAATCATCCCCCAGGGGGGATGGCCACGCCGCAATCCCTTCTCCTCCATTCTCCTCTCGGGATCTTGGGCACGCACGCACACGCGCCCGGTGTGAGTTTTAAGCCACCGGGTCCGGGACACAAACCGCGGTCGACTACATGGGAGTCCAGCAACATAGCCATTACGCTAACTGCTGGTTCCCACTTTCTCTTAATCTTGTTACAGTGGCTCTGCAGAGAATCTAGGAAGGTAGAAGAAAAATAGTTCTTTCGCCCCTTACGGTTTCTGGCAACTACAGAGATTCAATAAAAGACCAAGACACTCCATTTACTCTATAAACTGCAGTTGAGGTCTGAGGCAACTGACAAAAATCTGACAGAAGGTAAGAATTTTTACCACATCTATTTCCCAGATCTCTGTCTATAGTGCCAGGTTGATTGAGGAAGATAAAATTTCTCCTTGTCCCTTCCTTTTCAAACTCTGATTAGCCAGAGAAAAACATTCGTAAGAATCGGTTCTTCTGATTATTAATGCTGGCTTAGCCAGGGTTGCCTATTCTGAGGACCAGAAGCCAGGTTCATTCCACTAATGCTTAACAAAGAAATAAGAGTTGATGAATGAGAAAAGAAATTTATTTCACTGAGGTCAGCACTAGTGACAGAGAGAACCAGAGTCTATAAATGTCTCTGTCATAATGGACCAGATACAAAGCTTACCTAGGGA